CTGGAGCATAACTACAACTGATTTTTAGTAATTTAGATGTGACTTAACCCTTCAAAGTGTTAAGAGAAGAGATGGGAGGTGGGATGGGAATTTTTCTGTTACTTTATATGAATTCCCCTCTATCCAGAAATAATTAAAATTATGCTAATTTTCGATAATTGAAGCGAATGGAAATAATGGTGCTTTGTTTACTTATGCACATTAGCAGCTAGAGCAGTGTCTTCTTGTAGCAATCTCTCAGAAAACATATGTGGATTTAATAACTGGACAAGTAGTTCATTTAGCATATCAGCCATATTTCGATAATTTATTTAATTTATAATATTTTAAAAATACAATTTATTATAATTTACCCACATTCTGCAACTTCAAGTTTTGAGATGATGAAAATAAAATAAAATCATTTTAGATAACCCAATACACAGTTCAATAAGCATATGTTACTTCATGATTTCATGTCTATCTTTAATAATGCATTTCAGGTAGTGTCCCCTTTGTGTGGATAAGAAAGGACTGAGCCATGTTTCCTTTTGTTGTACATAAGGTTGCTATAGGTCAAAACTGACTCGTTGGTAAATAACAACAACAAAATCCATATCAAGTAACTTCTCTTGAAAGTTGATGGTGTGTATTTAATTCTTCAATTTAATTAGAATGGCAACTTGGCAAGATAATATTCACTTTTGCCACCTTCCTTTCTTCTTCTTCCTTTTTAAAAAATCATTTTATTGGGGGTTTGTACAACTCTTATCACAACCCATGCATACATCCTTTGTGTCAAGCACATTTGTTGCCATCATCATTCTCAAGACATTTTCTTTCTACTTGAGCCCTTGGTATCAGCTCCTCATTTTCCCCTCCCTTCCCACCTCTTCATCCCTCACAAACCCTTGATAATTTATAAATTATTATTATTTTGTCATGTCTTACACTGTCTGATGCCAGATGCTATATCTTTTGATAGTCAGGCACCATCATCTTTCTTCACTACATTTGATTATGCACACATTTTGTCTTCAGCTATCATCCAGAAGACACCTTCATTTCTTCACTGGCTTTCTAAAAAAATCATTTTATTAGGGGCTCTTATCACAATCCATACATACATCAATTGTGTAAAGTGCATTTGTACATTCATTGCCCTCATCATTCTCAAAACATTTCCTCTCCACTTAAGCCCCCGGCATTAGGTCCTCATTTTCCCCCTCCCTCCCTGCTCCCCCCTCCATCATGAGCCCTTGATAATTTATAAATTATTTTGTAGCTCTCTTAAGAAAAGTAATGTACTCTAAATGCTATTAGAACTGATTCTTCAAAATTCACTTGACACAATTTTCACATACAGTTGTAAGTGATTTAACTAATTAAGGCTCATATGACAATAATCTTTTCAGCTTAACTGTAATGCACCTATTCCAAGCTATAAACTCTGTTTGTTACCAATGATTACTTTGAGTTAATTTGTCTTCCATTTCTAGTTTTCCAAGGTGAACATTTAAAGTATCAATTTTACATCTTCTTTTCTAATATATGCTTTCAGTGCTATAAATTCTCTTTACTCACTTTCCATGCACCCACAAAAATTAAGAGGCTGTGTATTATCCTTTTCATTTAATTCAAAACAATTTTAATTGCCTTGTGTCTTCTTTGATCCATTGGCTATTTAGAAATGTGTTTTCTTCTGTTCAATTACTTTTCTATGAGATTTTCTGTTGAAATTTCTAGTTTAATATCACTAGGTACTAAGAGCATGCTTTGCATCATTTCTACTCCTTAAATGTAATAAATTGTGTTTTACGGTTTATCTTGTTGAATATTCTATGTGAGTCGGAGAAGAATGTGTATTCTGCTGCTGTTGGCTGAGGTCTTCTATAACTGTCAATTAGAACCAAATGACTGGCGGTGGTGCTGTCCAGTGCAGCTATCAAACTGATATATATCAAACTGATATCTGCTTGTTGGATGTGTCTATTACTGAGTGAGAAATTTTGAAATTTCCAACTACCATATTGGATTCATCTATATTTCCTTGCAAATGAATCAATAAAATTAAGAGCAAATTATTAGAGGAAATCATGGTATCATAATCTAGCTTTTAAAAATGAATAAAATTGATCCTGTGTAAATTTTAAAAAACTACAAAATACTAATGACTCTATGCTGACAAATTTGACAATTGAAAGGAAATAGACCAATTCCATGAAAGGCATAATTAACCAAAATTCATACAAGGTTCAATAACCTGAATAGGCTAATTTCAACTAAAGAAAAGGATAATTAATTACCTCTGAACATAAAATATCAGGACCAGATGATTTCATTGGTGAAGTCTAACATAAATTTAATAGCTTTTATTTATTTTTATAGTGACATTGTTTATGTTTTAAAATTGTCCATTAATGTATATTACATTATACTCAAAACTTCCTAGTTCTTTTCTGTTATAGCCACTGTCTTACTATAATTTCGAACTATACAATGTCCTTTCATTGAATCTCTTTTCTTTTTGCTCAAATATGCTTACATTTCTGTTGCTTATAGGTTATGATAGAATCAGGCAGCCTAGTAGACTGGAATGAGTTACATCTTCTGCTTACAAATAAGTGGTTTTGTTGGGTGAAGCTAAATTTTAGCTTGATATTTCTATATCTGGCAATAGTGAAAGTGTTCAGATTCAACATAGATCACAATTCAGAAGTTCAGAGAGGGTGAGATTTTTATAGTCATCTGTTGGGTACTTCTCATCTTGTACAATTATACAGCCTGCTAGATGGTTTCCTGTGGGACCGCTTCCACTGTTATTGACATGTGTCTTTTTTTTTAATCATTTTATTGGGGGCTTGTACAATTCTTATCACAATCCATACATACATCCATTGTATCAAGCACATATGCACATTTGTTGTCATCTTCATTCTCAAAACACTTGTCCTCTACTTGAGCCCTTAATATCAGCTCCTCATTTTTCTCCCTCCCTCCCCACTCCCCCTTCCCTCATGAACCCTCTATAAATTCATAAATTATCATTATTTTATCATATGTTACACTGTCTGACGTCTCCCCCCGCCCTCTTCTCTGCTGCCCATCCCCCAGGGAAGAGGCCATATGTAGATTCTTGCAATTGGTTCCCCCTTTCCACCCCACATTCCCTCCACCCTCCAGACACCGCCATTCCCATCACTGGTCCCAAAGGGGTCATCCGTCCTGGATTCCCTGTGTTTCCAGTTGCTATCTGCACCAATGTACATCCTCCAGTCCAGCCAGACCTGCAAGTAGAATTGGGACCACAAAAGTGGGGGGGGGAGCATTCAAGAACCAGAGGAGCCAGTTAGGGGGCAAGGTAGCAATGATGAAGCATATAGCTTTCCTCTGGTTCTTGAATAGGCTTTATTTTTTAAAGCATTTGTAGGCTGACAGAGGAATTGAGCAGAAAGTAAAAAGAATCCCTATGTAACTTCACTTTGCCTCCTCATTTCACAATTACTAATAGCTTTTATTATGTGATACATTTGTCAATGTTGATGAAGCCATATAGATACAATATCACTAACTAAAGTCTATATTACCCATTAGAATTAATTCTTTATGTTATACAAGTCTGTCTGTACAGGTTTAGACAGATGCATGCGTTGTACCTACCATTAAAGTATCATACAGAATAGTTTCACTGCCCTAAAAATACCCTTTTATCTACATAGTCATCCATTTTCCTTTCCCCTAAAGCCCTGCCAAACACTGATCTTTTCACTGTCTATATTTTTGCCTTTTCTGAAAAGCAACATAGTTGGAATTATACAATAAGTAGTATTTTAAGATGAGCTTCTTTCATTTATCAATATGCATTTAATGTTCCTCTGTGTGCCTGTGTGTTTACCTTTATGGCTCTTTTGTTTCATTGCTGAATAATATTCCATTTCATAGTCCTACCACACTTGTATATCCATTTACCTACTGAGGCAAGTATGAAGAGAGTTGCTATAAACATTCAAGTAGAGTTTTCTGTGTGGACATACATCGTTCATCCCATTTGGATAAATGCCTAGGATCATGATTGCTGGATCATATGGTAAGACTTTTTAAACTAAATATTATCTGTTCAAAACCAGCCAGGAATTCTGTGGAAAAGAAGGCCTGACACGCTGCTTCCATGAAGATTACAGCTAAGAAGCTTTTTGAAGCAGTTTTACTCTGTGAGCATATGGAGTCACCATGAGTCAAAATCAACGTGACAGCAGCTCAGCAGTGCTTAATTTTGTAAGCACCTGCCTGCATCCTCAGGCTGCATCACCAACAGTGAGGGAGCACTTCTGCTCCTCCTCCTCCTCCTTCTCCTCCTTCCCAGGATTCTGTCAGTGTTTTCGATTTCAGGTGTCTGGTAGTATTTTATTGTTGTTTCATGTGTAATTCCTCAATCACATATGATGTTGAGCTTGTTTCATGTGCTTGTTTGCCATCTGTACATTGCTTGTTTGGGGCCTTGCTCATCAGTTTGTACTGTCTCCTCACAATTAACTTGGCACCATTTTGTCACTTATATAGTATGAGGAGATTTTATTTGCATTTAAGGCTCGTATGAACACAAACCCTTTTAGCTTAAATGTAATGCTCACTCTCTAAGCTGTGATAGGGACTGGTTGTCATTGTTCAGCAGAACTCTACTGTATATTAATAATTGTTACTTTCTGTGTTGCCTTTGGTATTGATAATCTCTGGTGTTGACACAGTGCATGAAATTGGCAATATTTGAAAGTGTTTTTTGAATTCATTCTTAAAATGTTTTAATGGAATGTTTTGTTTTAATTTTTGTTATGTTGAATTAAGATTTAGCAGTTATGTCTCTTTACCTTGAATGTATTGCTGCTTTGGTTGCATTATGATATATTTTAATATTTCATGTGCCATATGTACCTTTCCTCTGGATGATTTCATAAGAAATATTTTGTTATTGTTGTTTTGTTTTTTGCTGTACTTAAACTACTAAGCCCCTTGCTTCATTTAAATCATGAAGCCACAGTAGCTGTCATTTGTTTCAGACTTTCCTGGGAGTTCATCTTCAGAATTTTTTTCAAGGCACTTATTACTTCCTTATTTCTCAGGCTGTAAATGAAAGGATTTAGTAAGGGAACTACAATTGTGAACAAGATAGCAGCTGGTATGTCTTGGTCTCCTTCTTCCAGCAAGTTTGGTCTAATGTACATGAAGAAAAGAGAACCATAGAATAATGAGACAGACAGTAAGTGGGATGCACAGGTAGAGAAGGCTTTGGCTCTTCCCTCTTTGGATTTCATTTTGAAAATAGTAAAAAGGATTAAGAGATAAGATATTAAGACACTGCCTATAGTGAAGACTTGAATTGATCCTGAAAAGACAAACAGTACTAGTTCATTAATGTAAGGGTCAACACAGGAGAGTCTGTATAAAGGAAGAATATCACAAAAAAAGTGGTTAATTTGATTACCTCCACAGAAAGCTAGCCTAAATAAAAGCCCGACATGAATCATGGAATGCAGATTTCCAGCTACGAAGGCCCCTGTGGTCAACTGAATGCAGAGTTGCTTTGGCATCATGGTGTGGTACTGCAGTGGACTGCATATGGCCACATAGCGGTCATAGGCCATTGCTGCCAGGAGAAAGCAGTCTGCAGTTTCCACAGCGCAAAGAAAATAGAATTGTGCAATACATTCAGAAAGTGAAATAATTCTGTCCTCATCAAAGAAGTTCTGTAACATCTTGGGGGTAATGGCACAAGCACAGCAAGAATCCACAAGAGCCAGGTTGCCCAGAAAGATGTACATGGGTGTGTGCAGACGGCGCTCCATGGAGATCAACACCACCAAACCAAGATTGCCCACCATGGTGATCAGGTAGATGACAAAGAATACCACAAACATTAGCGTCTTCAGTTCTGGGTGATCCATAAATCCGGTGAGGATAAACTCAGTTTTCATTGTCTGATTTTCCTCCGCCATTCCTGACTTCTCTGTTAAGAAAACAAAGCAAAACAATTTTTTCTGAGAAGTTCATGCTAACTTATAATAGGCTCAATTAACCTGTTGAATATTTTCTAATCCTGGAGGGAAAGAAATGTTCTCTATGATTCTTCCCAGTGTCCCCTGGATTTTGTGCATGTCCAGTTCTGGGAAGCATCACTCTCCTAATGCTATTAGCTATTTACGTTTCTTCACATCATATTTTGAAAAAAAAAAAGAATGGAAGCAAAAAAAAGAACTTTGAAAACCGGAAGGGAAAAATCCAAAAAAAAAAAACCAACCGGGGGAACCAAGGAAAGCCGAATTAAAAATTAAAAATCCTCAAATGAGTATTCTCAAACTATTTCAATGCTTGTATATATGTAGTTCAGTAATGTTTAAATAACTAATTTCATTTGTAGATGCCTAGCAATTTACTATCTCTGAATATACACTTAAAAACAAAGTGCTTTGAAAGTGGAAAGGACTACATACAAGACTTTATATGACTTGCAGGATTAGGGCAGACAATGATGTGGATGGAAGCAGAGATTCCAAGAAGAGAGGAAAGCAAAGTACTAAATTGCTCTATTAAACACCTTCCATGGAATTTAGAACATAAGGGATACCTTTGATGTAAAATTACACATATGTCTGTACATAAAGAAAACCCTACCAAGAAAATTGAGAACTCTGAAATGTTAGAAACTATACATTAAATTATAAGCTATGTCAAGATCATAAGTAAAATCAAATGTTCAACTCAATTTGGGAAATTATTTACAATAATATGAGGAAGGTTCAAAACAGCTTATATAAATCACTAGGAGAGAATACAATAAAATATGTAAAGAACAGGAATAGAAAAAGATCTAAAGAAATATAATTTTTAAATTGATTAAGAATGTTTAGAATGATGAATAATTAGAGAAACTGCTATAAAACCATAATAAAGATATCTCTATTTTGCCAAACTTTTTCCCCTCTTGACTCCTTTTGTCCAAGAAACTTGCAACCTGGGCAAACGCTCACAGAAACACCTTGGACTCATCACTCCTTCGTTTGTGTTTTAATTTTTCGTGTTGAATTTTCAGAAATGTTTTACTGTTACCAATTTCTTTGTGTGGCCCCTTCATTCAATTTTTGCCACCTGCAAGGGGGAACCAACAGTTTAAGAAGCTTTGGTGAAATAGGAAACGTTACTCATTACTGGTAGAAGATAACTTGGTACAACCTTAGGATAACAATTTGGTATAAGTACGGGAACATCTACAGAGTGAAAATGGACCAAAAATATTAGTGTGTGTGTGTAGGTGAGAGGGTGGGAAAGAAGAAAATTGCTGGTCAAAGTGTAAGGTTAAGTGGCGGGGTTGTTATTTTCAGAGAATTGTATAAGGTATTATAAGTACTCTAGAAATGATTTAAAGTATATGAATGCATAGATTATATGCAAATAGGATATCGTGTTTAAGATATATCCCTGGATTTTGTTTTCCAAGAAAGTCCTCAAAGCAATCCCCGCCCGAGACCACTATAGTAAGAAAAACAGAGAAATCAAAGCAATCGTACAGTATGCACTGTAGAACTGGTCCTGAGAGTGTCTGAGACTGGCACTCTGTAGAGGAGTAGAAAACCCTGTCTTTCTCCCTCAGAGGGGCAGGTGGTTTCAAACTACTGACCTCGTAGTTAGCAGCCCACCTGATAACCACTACACCTCTGTGCTTATTTCCTGCAATAATGATTGCCAGAATTATAAATATATAGATGTTTCCACCATGTCCTAATGCTCTACGGCACTCATATTATTAAACTTTCAGTTTATCTGAGTAACTTACCATTATCAACCCCTTACATTGGTCTTTAGAGATAAGAGGTTTAGCCATTGGGGGATGTTTTATTTCAATGTACCTATGTTTATTTTAGTTAATTTAAAGATCAGTATTCATTGAGCTAATGTGCCTGCCCAGCACCAATATTCTCTTCAAACTCACTCACTCACACACACACACACACACACACACACACACACACACACACACGCTCATTGCCATAAAGTTGAAAAGCTTAGCTTCTGTCCCCTGCAATAGGAAGTTTCTTTTTTTTGTTTTTTTAATCAAAGTTTCTACGAGGATCTAAAATTTTTAGAGAGATTTAAGAAAAATATTTAACTTTTAATTTCCTCAAGATAATTCTGACCCAGATCTCAGATTATTTGAGGCTGACACTTTTAGGAAAGACTGTAATAAATGATCATCTGAAATACACCTAATTGTACGTTTTAATTAAGTGGCTTGCCCTTGTCAACTTAAAGTTAAAATATATATATCACATGTATGTATCACTATTTGAAGTCTATATAACATGATTTTTTTTTTCATTAAGTGCTTTATCCTAGGCAACTTGACGTCACACAGCATGAGAAGATCACACGCAGGTAGATCAGTTGATTATAATTGACCAGGAATAGGTGAACTTTTCATTGATATTTTATTTCTGTTTTCAATAAGAAAGGGGAAATAGGAAGCGCTCCAAAATTCCATCAGGGAGTGAAAAATATCATTTGAAATTGTAGTCCTTGTTCGTATCATTTAATATGTAGGTGAATACAGTAAAAAAATTAAAATATTTTATTATAAAATCTAATAATTCATTTTTAGCTATGTTATATGGCAAACCACATTGTTCAGATATTTTCAAAAACTCTACTAGTATATTCTATCCTATTATAAAACTGTGATTTTAACTATTTAATTTTGTATAAATATGTTTTTTTTATTTAGAAAACATCCAAATCACTGTCATTTATTTATTGCTTATACTTTAATAAATTGAAGGTAGTATTTTAGGAAACTTAAAAGATTGAATAATAAGAATCATAAGAAAAATTTAAAAAACAGAGAAATAAATATTTCTGGACATTCGTATTTCTATTAAAATTAAGTTTAAGTATGTTCTCACCTGAATATCACTAGTCAAAGTTGTTGCCTGATGTTAAATTTTAAAGTAGATCAAGGAATCAAACTCTATCCTCAGAATCAATTAGATGAGTATTTCCACCAACAGGTCAATGATAATATTTATGTCATTGATAGAGAGTGGTTTAAAGGTGCAATATAATTCTAAGGGGATTTTCTTGGCATTGACACCATTGTAGAGCCTGAGAGACCTAATCCCCTAAACATTACAATCATAATATATTGAAATAATTAAACGTATCCTTTGAGAACTAGAGAGTAAGACAAATGCCCATTTCTAAACAATTTCTAAGACTCTTATTTTGGTTTTCATTCATTTGAGTTAGTAATTTTTGCCCTTGTCATCATTCTGAATATAATTGGAATGACAAAATTCCCACTGGGTTGGTTAGTGAAAACTTCCTAGAAGAAGTGGGAACTGAGTTAGAATTGGCTGCCTCCAAGGGGAGGTGTGCTATGAACAAAGCTGGAAAGCAGAACTTCTATAACTCAAGTGTTTATTCAATTAATATACAGTTTCTGAAATCTTTTGAAATTATATTCATAATGTCTTTATACCATAATTACTAGAAAAACCCTTAAATTTTCTTGCAAGTCTAAAAGAATTTCTTAAAAGGCTCCTTTCCTCAAAATACTTCTGCATTTTGGAAACTTCCATCATTTACGCTATAATGGTGCCATATTGCCTATCAATAATACATCTCAATTTGTTTGGTTAATGTACTAGTTTCCTAGGCAACTGAAACAAGCAACCGCCAAGTGAGTGTCTTAAAGCAAAATAAATATGTTGTTTCGTGAATTTCAAGATTAGAAATCCTAACAGCCATTTTTGTTCCTAAATCCTCATTCCCTAGCCCCCAACCTCCCCTCCCATATTCCTAAGAAACCATGAATCCAGTCTAGGGTCACCTATCCTGAATTTCATAAATAGAAAAGCATACAAAACAACAACAACAAACTAACAAAAATGAAGTGAAACAGAGAAAAACTATAATCAAAAAGAAACAAAGAATATTAAAAACCATACTTTACACCATTTTTCAAATGAAATGCAAAAAGGGACGAGGCAAGGACTTATCTACTTGTGCTTTCTCACTTTCTTTCCATCTCAATATTCTATGGCTCTCTTCTCATTATGTTCATTCAGCCAAGTTCATGTACAAAAGGGGATAAAGATATACCGATTGCTTTTTTTTACACTCTAGTAATCCCTTTATTAAACCTCTTTATCTGTAGTCTAAGAAATAAGGAAATAATAAGTGTTGTGAAAAAAATTATTAAGAAGAGAAAGCATATCGATCTGAAACAAATATCCCCTGAGACTAATCGATTTTGATTAAACTTTCTTCAAAGTCAAGCTACAGAGAAACTGGAAATGAGGACTTTGTAAATCAAATAGTAAATCACTAAACTTTGTGGGTTTTTTGTTTTTGTTTTTTTAAATCATTTTGTTGGGGGCTCAGACAATTCTTATCAGAATCCATACATATATCCATTGTGTCAAGCACATATGTACATTTGTTGCCATCATCATTCTCAAAACATTTGCCTTCCACTTGAGCCCTTAATATCGACTGCTCATTTTCCCCCTCCATCCCCGTTGCCCTCTCCCTTCATAATTCATAAATTATTATAATTTTGTCATATGTTACGCTTTCCGACGTCTCCCCCCGCCCTCTTCTCTGCTGTCCGTCACCCAGGGAGGAGGCTATATGTAGATTCTTGTAATCGGTTCCCCGTTTCCACCGCACATTCCCTCCACCCTCCAGGCATCGCCACTCTCACAACTTGTCCTGAAGGGGTGATCTGTCCTGGATCCGCTGTGTTTACAGTTGCTATCTGTACCAATGTACATCCTCTGATCTATCCAGATTTGTGAGGTAGAATTAGGATCATGATAGTGGGGGGGAGGAAGCATTTAAGAACTAAAGGAAAGTTGTGTGTTTCACCATTGCTACCCTGCACCCTGACTGGCTCATCTCCTCTCCACAACCCTTCAGCAAGGGGGTGTCCAGTTGGCTAACCATGGACTTTGAGTCTCCACTCTGCACTCACCCACATTTACAATGATATAATTTCTTTTCTTTGATGTTTGATACCTGATCCCTTTGACAGTTTGTGGTCACACAGGCTGGTGTGCTTCTTCTATGTGGGCTTTGTTGCTTCTGAGCTAGATGGCTACTTGTTTACCTTCAAGCCTTTAAGACCCCAGACGCTATATCTTATGATAGCTGCGCACCATCAGTTTTCTTCACCACATTTGCTTATGCACATGTTTGTCTTCAGTGATCATATGGGGAAGGTGTGATTTTGATATGATTTATATGATTTTTAGTTCTTTAATGTCTGATAACTGGTCCCTTCAATATCTTTTGATAGCCGGGGATCATCAGCTTTCTTCACCACATTTGCTTATGCACACATTTTTCTTCAGCACCTTCAGGAAGGTGTGCATCATGGAATGCCAATTTAATCGAACAATGTGTTCTTGCATTGAGTAAGTACTTGAGTGGAGGCTCAATGTCCATCTGCTGCCTTAATACTAAACCTATAAATATATGCACATAGATCTATTTCCCCACCCTCCTATTTAAATACATTTACATTTACATATGTCCATGCCAGTATTTAGACCTCTATAAATATCCTTTGTCACCTAGTTCTTTCCTCTATTTCCTTTTACTTTCCTCTTGTCCCACTATCATGCTCAGCCTTCATTTGGGTTTCAGTAATTTCTCTCAGTTACATTGCCTTGCTGAATCCCTACCAGGCCTCTCACACCCTCCTTGCCACTGATTTTGGATCACTTGTTGCTTCCCTGTCCCTGGGTTGGTCAACACCACCTCCTTACCCCGACCTCTCCCTCTCCTGTGCCCCCCAGGAACCATTGGTCCAGTTGTTTTCTCCTCCAGACTATTCATCCAGTCTATCTTATCTAGATAGATCTGTAGAGATAATAATATGCACCAAAAATCAAGCCATAGCAAGATAGCAAGATAGGCAATGAATGAGGACACAGTGATGTCTTTCAGTCAGGTCCGATGTTGTGCCACGCTCTAGTCCCAGATTTTGTCCTTTGTACTCCCCTAGCTGCAGCTTCAGTGCAGTCCTCTAAAGTAAATTCTTCTGGAGGGAGGGGCAGTTGTCCACATAGCTGGTATGGGGGTCCAGCCCTCAGGCCCCTGCACTGGCTCCACTGTGAGGGGTTTTAAATCAAATAATATATGAATGGTTAGCTACTTAAGTTACAAAAGGAGTGTTCTGCTAACTGTATTTCAAAATCTAAATTCTAGGTACTATTAGGAAGGAATTAAATGACTACTCCTAAGTAGAATTAGAAAATATTACATATTTTCACGTATTCAATAAATCCTAGAAATGTACTGGGTGTATATGGGTTGTCCTCATTTAGCATTACTGACAAATATTTGGGACCCCTAGTAATAATCTTAAAATCTCACAAATATTTCAATTGTTCATATATTAGTTACTTAAGCCATATAATCTATTAGAAATAAGGTATGAATTTGAATCTGATCTCAACTTTCTGTGCATGGTTCAAGTTTATTTTTGAATATGTATCATATACAAAAATATATTTAAAAGTTGTGGCTATTCACGGCAAATAATTTCTCAATATACTAATAATCTTAATAATTGTTTATAATATATATCTGATAACATTTTTAATTATACCTATTAATATGTTTTCATATAGTTTATCTTTTTGTTTTAGAGATGGCGAAGTCTTTATTTTTCATAGCAGATTCCATGGTGAGTAATCGGAGAACACACTGCCATACAGCTCTGCTATACAGAACTGGACAAAAGCATTGAAGCATGCTGCCTTGCTGTACATAGAAAAATGGTGAACCTCTTCAGACACAGATGAAATGGGTTAATTCCATCTGCTGGTATGCCTATCAAGTGGTGCAGGCTGCCTTTACCTGAAAGCAGAATTAACAATCACCCTGGCTGCCTCTGGAATATTCTAGTACAGGCCTAGTGAGGGGTGCAATGAGCAGGCAAGAGACAGGCGCCGTGTCCCCATTCTGAAGTGAGAGATTTAGAGCTTGGCTCTGCATATTTTAGAGACTGAGATGGCCAGCCTCATAGCATGTTGAGTTTCTTTTACCACGCATATTGGTAATCAACATTAATCGAGAACTTCTGAAACGTTAACTGAACACTGTCCATGTCACAGAACCGCTGTCACAACTTTGGCCCAGTTCTCACGGGCTGTCCAGTAAAAACCCCTCAACTAATGAGTTTTAGTGAAAGCCTCTAGCAACTGTTACATCCCTTCTCCACCCAGTTCTAGATACTAAGTCTTGGAAACGAGCTCCCTTCGAAGTGGTGTGTCCACAGGAAGGCAGTGTTTCTACTGGAGGTAAGTGTCCAGTTTCCTCTGGATGTTGTCAAAGGAGTCTGCGCCCAGGTAATCAGCCTGGCCCTGTTCCCACCGCTCCTTCCGTTCTTCTGAGGATACGAAAGGCTGTACCACAGCTGGGAGCTCCCCCAGGGACAGGTGTGAGACGGCTCCTGAGACCTCCTCCACATTCAGGTATGAGACGGTGTCTTTGACAAGACCAAACTGCTGAAGCAGAGGTACAATGTTGGTGGTAAAGATGTCCCACCACATGTTAAGAAACTCTGGGTGAATCATGGTAGGGTCATGGCCATCACTTCTGACACTTCGTGTTTTGGGATCATAAGTATAATTCCATGGTTTGATTAGTCCCAGAAAATGCACAATTTTGGCATTTGCACCGAACACTCTAAAGGCTGGGAGGTAGGAGTATATAGAAATGCTGCTGAGGTTATAAATAAATGGCAGGTGTTTTCTTATATCCGTGGTGGCCCAGCTGCTAAAAAATGTGTTCAATAAACCCTGGTCCCCACCATCAAAGCTACCTTTCTCTGAAGCCATGTGCAATAGCTGGTTGTACGTTTCAACTGAAGGCCGGAACACAACTCCAGAGTTGAAGCAGTCAGGCCACCCTGGGTCTGGAGCTGCTGAGAATTCTTCCCGCTCAAAGAGATCATCGATGTTTGCCAGGACCATTGTGTCCGCGTCCATGAACACACACTTGGAGTACTGCGTGAGCGACCAGCAGTGCAGCTTCGTCAACGTGACCCTCAACTCAGGCCTCTTCATCAGGGTCAGGTGAGCGGAGTCACCACTGTCCAGGACATCAACCGCGAGGACCTCATCGAACACGGTCTCCAAAACGCTCCTCATGGAGTCTGAGATCTGTGGGGTGGTGAGCACGGCCAGCTTCCTGGTGGTCCTGTGCTGTTTCAGGGACGAGCCCAGCACCAGGGCTCCTTTGGCATACGCATCGTTTGTGGTCAGTGTCACAAAGGTCTGATCTGCCATGTCGCAGCCAGGCGCGGGCAGAGCGTCTGCCGCAGCCGCAGGATGGGCCTCGGAGCAGCCAGGCGGCCGGAGGGAGGGAGGAAGGGCATATAGTGTATCTTATGGTTATTTTTTAGAATTCCTTTATGGAATCTCAGATCTAATATATTTTTTTTTAGTTTCTTTTTTTTCTGTTGTCCTTTTTATTTATTTATTTATTTTAATCAATTTATTGGGGCTCATACAATTCATCACAATACATAGATCAATTGTGTAAAGCACATCTATACATTTGTTGCCCTCATC